TCAGAATCTAAAAAAAAAGAATGTTATTAACTGAACCATTTTTGTTGGTGTATAAATTCAAATAATTCAAATAAGTTTTATTTCATTATACTACTTTATTAAGGTTGTATATTTAAAAAAAATTCCATAATTCCCCCCCTCTAATATATTAATCCATTTAATTGCATTACAAAAAAATAAATAGATAAATATTTGATAAGGTTAAAAAACAAAAAAAAAACAAATATGTGTTAGGTATAATAACTGAAATATTTAATTAAAATCTAATAACAAATAACACAATGTCTAAACACTAATTATAAAAACTGAAATTAAATAAATTTGTTCATATCATAAGTCATGACACATAACACATTTTTTTCAAACAAATYCATTTTACATAATGTTATTTTTATATTATCCCACAAATTTAGTGTGTGAACCTTGAGCTAAAATAACCTTATCATCTTTCCTGAACAATGTCACTTTTAGAAATGCTAAATTTCTTCCCARCTTAACAGTTTCAGAATTAATAACTATTTTGTCACCAATTTTTGCTGAATTTAAATACCTGAAAAAAAAAATAATAATAAAATAAATAAAATGTACGTTTAAAAGTAATTTTGTTTTTTTTTTTAAATAATAATTATAATATTTTGTTCGAAACTTATAATAAATGTAATTATATTAATCAAAAACAAATGTAATAATTTCAAATATTAATTTGTGTAAAATAATTGGTTTATTATTTTTCATCTTATAAATAGATAGTAGTGATTGACCTAACCTCTGAACAAGCTTGTGTAGGTGTGCAAATATAAAATATTTATAAATGTATATTTATTCATATTTCATACACCAAAAATAATATTAATAAACTTAATACATATTATAAATATTTTTACTAGAAATAAAATTAAAAAGATGTATTGTAAAAAAAAATATACATACGAAATATGAATATCAACTGAAACACCGGAGTTAGGCACTGAATCAATGTCCTCAACAACTCGTGGATGAGTCAATACAGCCATACTCGACAAAACATCTACAGCAGAAGCTGTAAAACCTCCATGTAGTGTACCAAATCTATTGGTATGTTCTTTTTCAACAACCATCTCAGCAACACATTGGCCATTTCCAGCTGATATTATATTCACCTTGTGCAAACAAAAAATCAATTTGATCAGTGAACCTATAATATTTCAAAATGTGTTATTTTAAATAGATTCTTTATTTGCAATCAACCAATTCTATTAATATATATAAATATATATATATATATAATATATACCATTAAAGAAATCATGCAATTGCATACTTAGAAATTTCACAAAGAAGGAATCCAGATAATTTTCTAAACATATTTAAGTTAGGGACCCCTCCCCCCAACATCTCACTGAAATTGGAATTAAATTTATTAGAATACATTTAAAAAAACACTGATATCAATAATTATTTATTTTTATTACATAAAAGAACATTCATAATATAAAATCTAATCTTCTAAAACAACAGTTCCCAAACTGTGCTCTACACAACCCTTGGTGGCTTGGTGCAATGGCTTATCAAGAGCTTTGTTTGTAACACCACAAAAAAATTAAAAATTGTTTGTTATTTAAAATGAATATATAAATATGCATATATATATATATATATCATGAATACTTGAATGATATAATTTACCGATATGTATACCTACTGCCTAAAATCTCAATAAGAAACAAAATTAAATTTTAAATAATACCTAAATAATATTTTCTCTAGTTCTCTGAACACTATTATTCCAACTTTATTCATAAATATAATCTTATTTTGACTCTTGTATGTATACAATTCATATTTATTATACTTCATAGAAGATAGAACACAGGCAGATAAAAATAAATGTTTAATACTTCTTGAGAGCTCTATCAGAAAATTCTACTCTTATTGGGTTTTGAGGCTGAGAAAGTTTGGCAACTGCTGTTTTAGGACTTAATATGTGCCAATTCATTGATTATTTCAAAAAAAAAACTAGATATAATATGTTTCAATGAATGGACATCATAACTATTTGCTAGTCCATTTAGCCTCGTAATAATACAATGATAGCAGTTCCAGACCCCATAGACTCCCCTTAATTTGCCACTGAACCGTGAATACATTTAAAAATTATTGTTTTTTGCATTATATCAAACCAAAAGTTTTGATTAACAAATTACTAATAGGATACTTTTGAATATTACTTTACACTTATATCCTGACAGTGGTTGAATTGGAGGAGGATGCAGGAGGATTGAGATAATCTACATTTTTTTTCCATATTATAGCATACCTACCCTTTTATTATATTCATCAAGGAATAGGGTTACTATTATATTAATTTGCTTTGGAACGCTAATCAACTTCATTTAGAGTCCACCTTAATTTTTTTCTCCAATTTAATCACTATACCTTGGTTAATATATATATCTACTTGTTATTTTATGTTCTCTAACAATGTTATATTGGTTATTTTAAATGGCTGATTTTATTAAGTGCCGAATAGTTGACAGTTGTTGAGTACAACATTTATAGAATAAATAGTTTAGTATATAAAAATGAATTAGAAAGCTAGTAACCATTAATAATTATGCAACAGAATTAATTATACCTTTTCAAAAATTTTATCATGTCCATTACGTTTGATTGAAAAGTTTAAAATTTTTCTTACTGATTCTAATACTTTGTTACTATTCATTATAATATTATGTACAATCAATAATAAATCCTGATTAACAAAGTATATATTCTGAAGAAAATTAAAACTATCTAAGCATAAAGTAATTTATACTATTAAATTTGTAAATACTATTAGTTATAAGTTATAACAAATTAAAAAACTTGATTTACCATTAACGGCATTAACTATTTCATTAGAAAATCATGTTTTCACTTTTTAATAGTTAGTTGACTTGGTCCACTGACCAGTAATCACTATCACTATTCAGTGATAACACAAGAACATTGTGATACGATCGCTTGTGGACATACATAAGTCAGCGGTTCCCAACCTATTTAGTTGTGCGGATCACGAATAATTTGAAGAAAAAAAAATTGAGAGGCCCACTTACCTAATATACAGGTATATGTATGATATTAACACGCACAAATAAGGCGATAGAAGAATATCGACGTGTWTAAAATTATATAAAAATCTCAATGTTCATTCCAGTAAAAATTTTCAGATCCTTGGCATAGACACTTAATCAGTGTCCGCGTCCCAGTACCACATTTGCCCAGGGCCCATAAGTGAGCCCCGGCCCATGGGTTTGGAACCGCTGACATAAGTCTTAAATACTATTAATATGTTACGTCACGCACGGCTTAAAATATTATAATATTTAAGTATATTTTTAACCATGACGTCATGGATTATGTCGTACGTCGTACGGATTACTTGTCAGCAGTCTACGTTTACGACAGGGATAATAATGTAAGACCATTGGATAAATGTGGGTAATATAATACGCAGTCATGTAGAAAATAATGTAGAATAGAGATAAGAAAGCAAGAAGACAAAACTCCTTTAATACTAATAGTGATACTCACAGGGCTATGATTATGATTTATGATATCTACATGTCATCACTCATCAGGTGTCCTATGACAGTATTACAATATATGGCTATTATACGAGTTACGACTTACGATATTAAAACTACAGCGTCTTGCCACAAGGCAGAATCTTAAGAAATAATAATTACAAACCGTTTAAAGAATACTATTTCGATCTAGCCCAACAGTAAGAATTAGAAATGTAGTAACATTTCTAGTTTCTATTACTACCAAACAAAAGCGAAGAGCATAACACTGATAGTTCTCGATAAATTGTTAATCAATTTYATACTCTTCAAACCCTGAACTCGGTTTTTAATGAGCATTTAGATGGTTTAAATTTTATTTAAATTAATATATAAATAAGTTTTCAATTATTCACAGCCATTAAYTAACGACTACCGACTACTTATTCGTTATTGTCTGTTTAAATATTTATATAGTATCAAAATGTGAACATCAAGTCTATAAAATAAATTTATGTATAATAGGTTATACGTTCTTTAAAATTTTAGGTTTCAGCAAGTACTACTCACGGGAAACCCTGTAAAATGATTCAGTCTTAGTAGTAAAAATAGTTGTTGTTACCTAAACATATTTAACTAATTTTCCCCTAAACGTATCTAAACACGATATTGACCAACATTATTAATTACCTACCACTTACATTTATACAATTTACAAACATGTCACCAAACYGTCAATACCTATAAACTTTTCCAAAATAATATAAAAATATACAGTCAAATCTTGTATTTAATTTTACCATTTCACAAAACAAATTTATGTCTAGCTAAAAATAATCTACGATCATCGTTCACTATAGAAATATAAGCTGAGGCAAGATGAGAAAACGCACATTTACTATAAAGGGTAATAGAAATTAGAATCATAGGTGTTTATGAAAACTTTTAGATTATTTGAAAGTGATTACCTATATATTTAATGTTTTTTAGTTACCTACAAAAGTCGGGCACTGAGCAGTCCTCAATTGGCACTTCAGCACGTTTTGTRCTTATTATCAGTTAACAAACCATTTTTTATTGAAAAGTTCTTATCTTCAAGTAAGTACCTATCAAATAAATAAGTGTTTAAAATATAAAAACTCAAAATGGTCTTAGCACCTTATCGTATTATATTATCAACAATCATAATCGTTATCATTATCGGTACGCGGCATATAATATTAATGAATAGGAGGCTTAGAGCCTAGAGGCGACAGCCGAATATTCTTGTGACATTTTAAATTAAAACCTTTAAAACCTTTAACATTCAATTGCTCATAGACCACAGTATTACTAATAATTTATCGCATTATATCTCAGCGTTACTGCAATACAAATTTTTACGTTTTACAATTTCTATGTTCATTATTCTARTTAATTATAATTTATTATGCATTTAAAAATGTATTTTCGTGTTATTTGTAATTTATATTTAACTTTATTCATTAGTTGAGTTCAGAGTTGAGTATGGGAGAAAGAAAATTCACTAAAGGCTTAGGGCGGCCAGGAATGGCAGCTCAACTTCGAGAAACTGTATCTCAAGTTGTCCGCGATAGTTCGAATAATGTAAGTATTCATTAGTAAATTAACTTTGGTTTTAAAAAATATTTATTTAAAATCACTTAGTACAAAATTTTTTTTGTTATTMAATTTAAAAATTAATAACACAAATTTTGTTTTGRAGTAATTTGACCTGGGTATCTAATTTGTAATCAATTTTTGCCCATTCTTGCTAGATTWATATATCTACTYTATGGTTTTATTCAATAATTGGAGTGTAATTTTGACAAAGCTTTTTAAATGTTTAATGATAGTTACTATATGCAACTATTCCTTAATTTCGATTTTTTAATTAGATCATAGAATATAGAATAATTAGATAGTTGAACAAAAGTTTCTGAACCATAGGTCATAACTGTCCTAATAACAGATATTATCATTATTATTAGTAATTGTTATTCTTTTTTATTTCTCTAAAAAAAGGTATTCTCTGTTGAAATTTTATAATTGCTCAATAATAATTTATTAACTATATGACCAAAATAAAAATATTTATCTTCAAATTTTAAAGTTAATTTAGGTCATTTCAGTATTTTAGGTCAAAAAGTCCAGAGCTTTAAAGTTAACCTTAATTTAGAAAATAAAATTCCATACATTATTTAAATGTTTGAAAAAGGTAGTTAATTAACAAATTACTCAATCTTAATATATTATTATTAATAAAAATAAAATAAATAWAATTCATATTTTTAAGCTGCATGATATGTTTTTTCATAAAGTATAATAAGTTTTAATTATTCTATTTATAAATAATGCATAAATAATATTATTTTATTTTGTGGTAGCAAAAATGTTTTCAAGTAGATCCATTAGACTTCGAAGACTATATTGCTAAAAACCATACAGTTTTTCAGAATGATCCTCAAAGAGAATTATTACTTTATCCTTCAGATGATGTTTCAGTAAGYTTATAACTAAATCAAATACTAAAAATCTCATTATGTAATAGGTATTTAATATTAATTTTTTTAAATAGCAAGTGGTTTTACCGAGAAGATATCGTACTATGGACCCCAGTATTCCTTCAAATGCAGACACCACAGAATGTTCACTTTTAACAAAAAGATGTATAGAAAGTTATTTAGCTAACTGGCATGTTATACATTATAAATATAGTGCATATTCAGGATCGTATATTCAATTTCCACCAGAGTAATTATGATTATATAATTGATGCATGTTAACTTAAACAGTATATAATACTTTTATATATTCAGTGCTTACTCAAATTTTTTAGGATATTTAAAAATGATGATTTCAAAGAAGAAGTTTATGAAATTGACACAGATCTAGATGGATTAGATAAAGTAAATTGTTATATTTTATAATATTGTATTACAACAATCTAAATTGATKTTTTGCTCACAGGATTGGAAAACAATAAAAAATGATAGTGCTTTATTTAAACAAGGATATTTATATAAAGGTCCTGATGGTGGCGGAGGTGCCTCAGAACGAATGTTTGCTAATTTAGCTGGTTCAAAATCTTTTAAAAGACGTTTCTGTATATTGAAGTAAATTTATAAATATCATTACTCGTGTTTTTTTTTAAGTAATAATGTTTTAAYTATTGATTGAAAGTCTGAAAAGTGAAAATACATATTTCTTAATCTCTATAAAAGTAATTATATGCATTTTAAATCAAATGTATATTTATAGACAACAAGTTGATGGCACATATATATTAGAGGTTTACAAAGATGATAAAAAAGGAGATACTAAGGCAACAATTGTTATGGATTTATGTGACAAAGTAATTCGGGTAAATATTTTTGATTAAGATATACTTATCATATTAGAATATTAAAGTTTCCTTATATTTKATGGTGTTTTTATAGTACTATTTTTTTGAACTTTCAGAACAGTAAAAAAGGCAGATTTTGCTTTGAGCTTCGGATGGTTGATACTGACAAAAGTTATTGTTTAGCTTCAGATACAGAGCCTGAACTTATGGATTGGATGACCAAATTACAATTAGCATTACAGTACAGTAATGACAAACGAGATGATAAAATATCAGAAAATAATAGTATGAACAATTAAATTTAATCATTAAAATCATGTGATGAGCAGAATTTTTAGCTATACTATACAAACATTTAAAAAATTTAGAAAATATAATTATTAGTAATCATAATAAGTTTTTTATAAAATGTCTTGACTTTAAAATAACTATTTTGATTGGTAATGGGTTATAATTCTTAAAATTGGCTTTTACTGTATAGTTAGTAATAACTTTGATAATTATATTATTTTCGAATATCAGGCAAGGGTGCTATTTGGGAGGGGGATTATTCTCCTGTTTATCATAAATTAATGTTTTTATTTTTCTTTAATTCTAAAATTATTGTAGTTAGGCATCTCAAAATTATAATTTAAGCGTTATACAGTTTTATAACTTGAATTTTATTGATATATTTTTGAAATTTAAATAGTAAAAAGTAAAAACAATAATATCATATTAAAATATATTATATATTATTTATCAGTAAATATTTATTAGCTTTATTTTCTAGCTTTGCCTAAATCTAAACAATTTTTTTTTTTGCTAATTATAATATTTAAATGACATTACTACATTAGAATTTAAGCTTTTAAGCTTTTACTTAGAAAATCAATTTTCAAAAAATTTTGGTAATATAATTAAGAATTAAAATCTAGTTTAATTTTAAAGTAAACATTTATAGTTTGGGTGTTAAGAACTGCATTATAGATACTTATAAACATTAAAATAATAAATTTAATTACAAAAGCAGATACAAATTTTTTATACCTTCATAATATTTTAGAAATTTTTAATTTTTTTGTTTAGTACAAAAATTCAGTCAACTCTGAGAATTCTCCACAGAATTGGGTGGCAATGTAACTACAAATAAAAAAATGTTGACATGGGCAGACAAAAACTTTGCAAAAAAGTATAGCCATTTTCTGATTTCAAAACTCCTGGATAGGACGCCCTATTATTAGAAATACAGCCTTATGAAGTTTTAATGCTTGAGATATTCTTAAACTGTTCTCAAATGAACAAATGTATGCATAATTATTATGGTTCCACATAATATCACATATAATTGAAAGTTTTGTATATTACCTTAAGAAATAAACAAATTTTTGGAGGAATAGACTTATTGACCATGGGTTGGAAAATTTCTATTCTAACTCAGTTCGTGTTTAAAATAAGACCTGTTGGGTATAGGCGTAATTTTAATAAAAAAAAAAGACTAAGGGTGCTGAAGCTATGCATTTTCTCATTTTATTTTTTATTTATTTTTGTAAGAAGATATTTTTGATACTTAAACATGAATATTATTTGAGGGTACTAATAACCCCTAAGTCCTTACCCTTATTTGCACCTAGGCTGTTGGCCCAGTTGAATTAATAGAGCTAACTGGGATACATGCAGAATACAGCATGTTTCCAAATAGTAACCWATTATTTTGATCTGCATTTGMTCCTATTTGAGTTCAAAAATGATTGAAAAGCTCATAAATTATTTATTCATGAACCCATTATTTAATATTTTTAAATCAATTTGAATGGCTTTGTTTTACACCATAATTTTTGTGTAAAATTTTTGGTATCTATGTTAACTTTATTATATTGATGGATTATTTAGAAGAAATCATTCCTGTTGACAAGAACATGGTACCTAATGATAGTTTTGGCACATTGAAAGGCTTGGAACATAGTGTAAATCCCCAATTGATGAGATATGCGAGAGAAACTGATTCATTAAATTCACATGCACGTCAAGAAAATAGAAGAAGGCTTTTTGCAGTTTATCCATTTTTACAACAAGTAAATTATTCTTAGTTATACTATTGTTTATTTTGGATATTGGAAATTTAATAATATTCATAACAATAATTAATGACATTACTTTTAATTTACAGCCTAGTAGTTGTATTAGACAAGATGTTCTAAATCAACCAGCTGATAGTATATCTGAACCGTACAAAGAAAAGTTTGGTCAGAGAGTTCTAATTGAATGCCAGGCATTGAACTTTCGATTACAGATAAACARTGAAGAAAACAATGATTCCGTAAATCAAGTAAGTTGTTAGGTGTTTATAATTTAAAATATATCAAATTATTATATTTTAGTTTMTTTTAAAACATTGGATTTTATTCTAAAAAATAATTTTTGAGTACCTAGTAAAAAACTAAAAATACATCACTTAGCATTATTTAAGATATTATTATTTATTTWTTTTTTTTAGAACTTTCAGTATAACTATTATAGTTCAACAATTACAATATTGATTGATACAGTGATACAATAAGTAATAATTGGTAATTAATAATAATGAGCATATGATATAATGATA